GCACTCCAGTCTGGGCGACAGAGTGAGACTCCAACTCAAAAAAAAAAAAAAGAAAAATGGTAAACAAAAATCCAAGGTTATAGACAATCAGGTAAGTAGGTGTGGTAGACTGAGTAATGGTCCCCCAAAGATATCCACACCTGAGTCCTCAGGACCTGTAAACATGTTTGTTATCTTATGTGGCATAAAGGACTTTGCAGATGTGATTAAATTAAGGGTCTTCAGATGGGGACAGTTTCCTGGATTAGCCAGGTGGTCCTGATGTAATCATAAGAGTTCTTGTAAGAAAAAGGGAGGAATTAAAAAAGTAGGTATGAAGATGGAAGCCGAGGTCCGAGTTGATACAGCCACAAGGCAAGGAATGCAGGCAGTCTCTGGAAGCTGGGAAAGGGAAGGAAACAAGTGTTCTCTGGAGCCTCCAATAGGGAACACAAGGTGTCTAACTCCTTGATTTTAGGACTTCTGACCTCCACAACAGTAGAACTTTAAATCTGTGTTAAATTAAGTCAATAAATTTGTGATAATTTGTCACAGCAACAATAGGAAACTAAAATAGTAGGTAAACCACTGGACTTGGTGTTAACACGGTAGGCCCAAATCTGAGAGGGCTTGTGGATAATATTACTTATTCCAAAGACGTCACCCAGGGTCCAGCAGGGAGAGACATTGGTTTATTACACTTACGGGAGGTCACCACTGGCAACAGGTTGGTGATGATCAAATAATTTACACCTTGGGACAGCACAGCAAGCAGTTTTATAATCAAGCAAGTTAATTATTCAAATTCCTATACAGTGTTTACAATCACATTGATTGAGAACGACTGCTACATTGTCTTTAGGTTGTTGGTTACCCGCATGCCTTAACTGGTTAACCCCATGACTTGTTACAGGGAGTACACAGAGACCAGCCTTGGCCAGGGGCTGCTTCCTGGGGAGGGCAGAAAGAAGTCAGACATGGGGAAAGAGAAGCTATCTGGACACTTACCCCACACTTGGGAATCACACAGCCTGAGATTCCACTAGCTGTGTGACCCTGAAGAAGTCTTCTCTCTGGGCTTCAGTTGTTCATTCTTGTAATGGAAGGATGATGATGGTACCCGCCTCATGGGATTTGCTATGGGTCATTGCTTGAGCACCCGCAATGTGTCAGCAACTGTTTGGGTCAGATCAGAGTTCGAAGCAGACACAGATTGATTGTGGTAATACATGCCAAGCATTTGACGGATCTCTGGCACACTCTGGAGGGAGGGTAATGTTGGTGACTCCAAGGACCTGCGTTTTCTTTTCTTTTTTTTTTTTTTTTTTGAGTTGGAGTCTCACTCTGTCGCTCAGACTGGAGTGCTGTGGCACACTCAACAGCCACCGCTGCCTTGACCTGCTGGGCTCAGGAGATCCTTCTGCCTCAGCTTTTCAAGGAGCTGAAACTACAGACGCACGCCACCACGCCCAGCTAGTTTTTGTGATTTAGTGTAGAGATGAGGTCTCACCCAGTTGTCCAGGTGGATCTTCAACCTGCGGGTTCAGGCAATCCACTCACTTTGGCTTCCCAAAGTGCTGGGATTACAGGCTGAGCCACCAAGCCCGGCCTGGGCCTGCGTTTTCCACTCCCTTCCACTATCTCCAAGTGCTCACCCCTAGAGTTCCTGTAGGGCACCGACCACTGGTGGCATTCCACACCCTGCTGCAAGTCAGGATTTATGGGCCTCTCCTAGCATGATACTGGGAGCTGCTAGGTTATCAATCAGCTCCAGGAGGGCAGGTGATGGTGTTATGTTCACCCTGCTCTATCTTCAGGACCTAGAAATGTGTTAGCAACAAGACTATTCCTTGGGAAAAAAAGCATTTTGCATTCTTTAAGGCCACTCCATCTCACCTCATAAACTTAAGAGTCAGAGGCAAATGCTTCTGGCTGGAGTTGCCCAACATAACAGCTTACAGAACTTGTGTACAGAGATGACCACACCCATTCTTCCAGAAGCTTACCACCTGGGGCCACAGCAGGGAAAGAGTTCTCTTTAGGTCATTCCCCACCCCCACCCCCGTCTCCCCCCAACAATTATTCACAGTATTCTCCAGTAGCTGGACCATTTGCCAGAAGCATGATGTCCCCCAATTCTGTCTGATAATATAATGCATGTCAACATTTGTCCTGCACCCAGTAGGCCTGATCAGGCAAAAAAGCAGAACTTGGGAAACAGGGTGGGAAGGAGAGCCGTTTCTGGAGCTGTTCAGAATGCACATGCCAGCATTGCTTCTCTAACAGAACAAAAATCCAGCGGAGGCAAGTTCATCTGCCATCAGTTCAGCTGCTCCACCCAGCATTTCTCCAGGGGCCCAGAGGCCCTGCTGACTAGGCGTCTCTGGTGAGTTATGCCTTCAAGGGTGACACTGCAAGGGCAGTTCCTATGCAAAACTCTGCCATAGCCAGGCAAGGGTGGGGAGGCCGCAGAAACCAGAGCAACTGGGATCTGTATAGTTTTTGTTTTTTAATGTGACATTTAAAAATAGCTTTTGCAAAACTAATATATGTTCCTTTCATTTCTTCACCTAAGTTCAACTCTGCCCATATCTTGGTAAAAATCACCTTTCGTTTCTCCACCTAGTTAAACTCTGCTGTGTCTTGGTAAGGGAAGCTGTTTTTTTGTCTTCTTAAAACAAGAAATGTAAGGTATGCTCATTGTAAGCCTTTTAAAATGTCAAATCAGTGGTATAAAGTTAAAAGGGAAATTCTCTCTTTCACCAAAGTCCTTGTTCATGGCTGAATCCTAAAGCTCAGAAGTAACCATTGGGAAGAGTAACAATTTGGTGTACATCCTTCCAGATCTTTTCCTTTGCAAATACATAGGCAAATGAAAGCAAGAAGCCCTAACATGCCCCACCCTCGTCCTATGGGTTGCCTTGCTCACGATAGGAGAGGAAAGCACTATCTAAAAGACAGAAGAGGTGGAGTCTCACAGCTGCTCCAAGTCTTTCTGCAGTTACTGGTGGGCCACCCAGATGGCAATGTGATGGGCATGTCTCATGCCTGCTAGGCCCAGGACCGTAAGCCAAGGAGGACTGGCATGCTACTGCTTAAAACCATACAACCCAAGCCCACGGTGCGAGGGAGTTTGAGCAGTCCACACCTTAGGAACCAGATCCCTCCCGTGGTAGTGGTGGCTTGTGAAGCCGTCCAACCCTCCCTGAGAATGGGAGGATGATACCTACCTCTTTGCAGTTGGGAATAGCCACATGACTGTGACTGGGCTGGAGCATGTATAATAAGCTGGGACCCTGTTCCCTGTGATCTCTCTTCTGCTACCACACCGTGAAGCACCATGGTGAGGTGGAGACAATGGGAAGCTTTTTTTTTTTGGTAACGGCTTTATTGTTATTGTAATTGCTGATATAATTCACACACCATACAATCTACTCATCAAAGTGTAGAATTCGAGTCCGGGTAACATAGTAACTGTAGTCCCAGCTACTTGGGAGACTGAGGCAGAAGGATCACCTAAGCCCAGGAGGTCAAGGCTGCATGGAGCCCTGATTGTGCCACTGCACACCAGCCTGGATGACACAGTGAGAACCCAACTCAAAAAAAAGTGTAGAATTTAATGGGTTTTAGTATATTTGAAACTGTCATTATAAAATTAATATAGGGCTACAGGGTAAAAACTGTGAAAAAGGACTGAGTCCTGTAAAGTTGCAGTATAAGTTAAAAGTTAACAAGTCTGTTCTTTCTAAGTTCTGTTTCTAAGTTTGCCTTCCTCCTTGCATGATTGCTGGCATGTAGTCGCTTGGGGCTCAGGCGATCCTTCTGCATCAGCCTCCCAAGTAGCTGGGACTACAGTCGCTAGGGAGCATCACTAATAATTGGGAACTGGTACCCAGCCATAGTATAACCAGTCATTGTCCTTTAGTTTGCTTCTCTGTAATGGCTTACTGCCTGGAATTCAGGTCACCGGGTATCATAAGACGTGTAATTTCCCCAGTTAGTATTGTAAAACCTCTCCGAGAGATTTTTTAGACTTTGCATTTTGGTAGACCATCAAGCCCTACCCAGATCCAAGGCCCAGGCCAAGGTCAAACCCCCACAGCTCTGCCCACGAGTACAGTTTCAGCACCCCATGACTTCAGCCCCCAACAAATCAGCAGTGCCTGTTCCCTAGCCTCTTGCCTGCCAAATTATTTTTTAAAAACCTTAGCCTAGCCGGGCTCGGTGGCTCAGCCTGTAATCTCGCGCCTTTGGGAGGCTGAGGTGAGTGGATTGCCTAAGCCCGCGGGTTCGAGACCCGCCTGGGCAGCGAGACTTCATCTCTACAATAAATCAAAAAATCAGCCAGGCGTGGTAGCGCGCGCCTGTAGTTCCAGCTACTTGGAAGGCTAAGGCGGAAGGATCGCCGGAGCCCAGCAGGTCGAGGTTGCAGTGGCTAGGAGCGGCCACTGCACTCCAGTCTGGGCGACAGAGTGAGACTCCAACTCAAAAAAAAAAAACCTTAGCCTAAAAATTCTCAAGGAGATGGATTTGAGAATTCTCTCTTGTCTCCCACTTGGGATAATTAAACTCTTTCTTTACTGCAACAACTGACTGCTGTCTCAGTGAACTGACTTTCTGTGCAGCAGGTATAATAACCCATTCAGATGGTGACATATTCAGAGTTGTGTAACCATAACTACAATCAATGGCATTTCCATCACCCCCAAAAAGAAACCCTGTACCTATTTTAGTCACTACCTATTCCCCTAAACTTCCTTACTAGCCTCTGGCAACCACTAACTTACTCCTGTCTTTATGGATTTTTAAAAATTTATTGCTATAAATGAAATAATATAGTATGTTATCTTTTGTGTTTGGCTTCTTCCACATAGCCTAATAATTTTTTAAAAAATTTAATTTATTTTTACATAATGTTTTCAAGGTTTATTTATGTGGAAACATGTATCAGGACTTCAATTCTTTCTACTGTCAAATAATATTGTATTGTAAGGAGGTATGTTTTCTTCATGCTTTCATCTGTTGGTGGATATTTAGTTTGTTTACACCTTTTTGGCTATTGTGAATAATGCTGCTATGAACATTCATGTATAAGTTTTTGTGTGGGCGTATGGCTTCGTGTCTCTTGAGTATATACCTGGTCATATGATACACTCCAAGTTTAATTTTTTGAAGAACTACCAAACTGTTTTCCATTTTCCATTCCCACTAGCAGTGTATGAGGATTATAATTTTGCCACATCCTCGCCAACACGTTACTATCTGAGTTTTTTTATTATAGCCATCCTAGGTGTGGTTTTAATTTGCATTTTCTTAATGGCTAATGATGTTGAGTATCTTTTCATGTTGACCATATGCATATTTTCTTTGGAGAAATGTATATTCAAATCCTTTGTTCAATTTTTAACTGGGTTATTTATCTTTTTATTATTGAGTTGTAAGTGTTCTTTCTATATGTTAGCTACAAATCCCTCATTAGATATATGATTTGAGAATATTTTCTCCCATTCTTGGGGTTGTCTTTTCACTTTCTAATGGTATCAGTTGCATTCTGTGGGTTATTGAGTCCCCCCTATGGATTACTCTGGTGGAGGGAAAGGGGAAGAAAAATCCAAATCCTTGTGGCTGTGGAGAGGGATTTTTCTACTAGAGGTGGTGATTTTACCCCTCAGAACTTGAGACTTTGTCCATGTGAGAGAAAGAGAGGCAGGCTTTAGAAAGGTGAGCTCAGCTTGGAATTGGAGTATGCTGAGGAAGGGTCAAATGTTTTATTATTCCTCTAGGATACAGTAACTTTGATGTACAGTTTAACCTTTCTCTCTTATATTTAATTTTCTTTTGTTATCCCAAACTCTTCACTAAAGTCTGCACAGCATTGTGTGAAGATTAAGGAGGCAATTAAGAACCAAGCAAAAATGCAGTGTGATCTGATCCACACCTCCTCGCTGAGTCCACATCTGTCTTCCTAAAGTGACTGGAAGTGACATCTATTCCTCCTCCAGAGCTTAACTCAACTGACATTCAGAGAAGCCTTCCCAACCCATTAGTTTCACTTTTTTTTTTTTTTTTTGAGTTGGAGTCTCACTCTGTTGTCCAGACTCGACCTGCTGGGCTCTGGTGATCCTTCTGCCTCAGCCTTCCATGTAACTGGAACTACAGGCCGTGCTACCACACCCGGCGAATTTTTTTTTTTTTTTTTTTTAATTGTAGAGATGAGGTTTTGCCAAGTTGTCCAGGCAGGTCTCAAACCCCACAGGCTCAGGCAATCCACTCACCTCAGCCTCCCAAAGCCGCGGGATTACAGGCTTAGCCACCAAGCCCGGTTAGTTTCACTTTTTAAATCTCTCGTTGCCCCTACATTTCTTGCTCATAGCAACCTCACCATTTATAATGGTATAGAACAATGACTCTGAGTAGTTTTTGTTTTCTGTTTTCCTACCCCACTAGACAGCTCCCTGAAGGCAGGTGTTTTCTACCAACTCCTAGCACCATATTTGGCACACAACAGGAGCTTAATAAATGTTTCCCATAAAAATGAATGCGCAGAAACTCTAAGTGCACATTTTACCTCCTTCAAAACTCCCTGAAAAAAAAAGAGATTTTTCTTTGTGTTTACTATAAAACAGGGATCCCCAACCCACCAGGGCTGCAGACTGGTTCTGGTCTTTGGCCTGTTAGGAATGGGGCTGCACAGCAGGGAGTGAGTGAAGGGAAGGGGAGCTCCGTTTGCTATCAGATCAGCAGCCGACATTAGATTCTCATAGGAATGGGAACCCTATAGTAAACCGGGCATGCCAGGGATCTAGGTTGCCTGCTTGTTATGATAATCTAATGCCTGATGACCTGAGGTGGAGCTGGGGCAGGGAGCGGCTGCAACTACAGCGGCTGCAAATACAGATTAACATTAGCAGTGAGGTTTGACTACATCTCGATCTGTCTGTGGAAAAACAGTCTTCCACGAAACTGGTCCCTGATGCCAAAAAGGCTGGGGCCACTGCTATAAAACACCAACATTAGCATCTCATTGGCCTGACTTGGGTCACATGCTCATCCCTGGACCAATCAATGGGACTAGAGGGATGAAATATGCTGATTGACTAGGTCTGGCCAAGTGTCCAATTTTGAAGCCAGGGAGGTCGGGAGGACTAGTCTCCTGAATTAAGAATAGGGTGGGGGAAAAAAAAGAAAGAAAGAAAAAAGAAAATAGGGTGAGCTGATTCCCTGTAGACAAATCAAGATATCATACCAAGATGGGGCACTTCTACTGGGCAGACAAAAATTTTTTAGTTGGAGTCTCACTCTGTCACCCAGGCTGGAGTGCAGTGGCACGCTCACGGCCACCGCAGCCTTGACCTACTGGACTCAGGCAATACTTCCGCCTCAGCCTTCCAAGTAGCTGAAACCCACAGGTGCATACCACCACGCCTGGCTAATTTTTTGATTGATTGCTAAGTTGCTTAGGCTGGTCTCGAACCCCTGGGCTCAGGCAATCTTCTCACCTCAGCTTCCCAAAGTGCTGGGATTATAGGAGTGAGTCACCGTGCCCAGTCGGCCACAGATCTCTAAGCAGTGGAGTCTTTTCTTTTTTTTCGATCTTACTTTGGGCTTAGACAGACTACATTAGTGTCTTTGATCTCCCCTTTCTGCCTGACTTCCCCAGGGTCAGAATTTGAGGGGCAATTCAGTCTTTATCGAAAAGCTAGAGTTTGGGGGGAAGGCATAATAAATAAGGGGGAACAATGTGTATGTTTCTTGGAGAACCTGAATTTTGAAGTCAGAAGTCTTGGTTTAGTGGTGGCCTTGTCCCTTCTAGCTGTGTCACCTTGAGTAAGTCACCATATCTATAAGCCTCACTTTTATGATTTGTAAAATAAGACTAGTGATACCTACCTTCCCTGTAGAGTTGGTGTGAAGATGGAATGAGATAAATAGCTCAATAAATGTTACTACTATTTTTATATCCAAAATACAATTTGTGAGATTTCTAAAATTTCACTAGAAAAGTATCTGGAAGTTAGTAAACATCAAAATGTTCACAGTAGTTATTAGTTTTATTTCTTTTTATCCTTTATACCTTTCTATATTTACCCATTTCTCTACTCATTCCTCAGGTATTTATTAAGTACCTACTACATGCCAGGCCCTGTGTCAAGAGGTTGCAATACAGCAATGTACAAGACAGGCAAGAAATGTCTAGAAGGATACTAATTAAAAATTACACAAATAATTGCAATTATCACAAGTGCTTCGGTTTTTACATAGCAAAAATCAGGAAAAGCAAACATTTTCGATTAAAAAAGAAATATATATATATATGGGGGGGGTCCGGCGTCTCGCTTTGTCGCCCAGGCTGGAGTGCAGTGGCACACTCACAACCACCGCAGCCTCGACCTGCTGGGCTTAGGCGATCCTTCCGCCTCAGCCTCCAAGTAGCTGGAACCACAGACGGGTGTCACCACGCCCAGCTAGATAAAAATATTTTAAGGTTATGTATATAGATGTATACAATCAAGCTATGGGCTCAGAGTACTACTTATTTTGGAAAGGATTGGAATACAGGAACTAGGAAGGAGATTGGAGAGGCGCGGCAGGACGGCAAGGGGTTTGGCCACCCCTTTTGGAGCTGCCCACTCGCTGCCGGAGGCCTGGCCCGCCCTGCGCGTTAGATCTGGACACTGTGCTTAGCAGGCGGCGAGCCGGGACTCAGCGCCAGTCGTCGCGCTCAGGGCCCCCAGCCAGCGCCAGAGCCCAGAGGCCCCAGCGGCGGCTGCGGAAGCGACGACGGCCACCGGGGGGCGGCCGCGTGAGCGCCCGCCAGCCCAGCCCCGCCCCCGCCCCCGCCCCCGCCCGCCCTCTCCTGCCCCAGCCCAGCGCCAGCGCCACCCCAGGTCGGCTCCGGCCCGGAACCCACGCCCGCTCGCCGCGCGCTGCAGCTGCCCCAGCCCGGCTCGCTGTCGCCTGCGCTCGCGTCCCCAGCACACGTCCCCGCATTCCGGGATCGTTCCAGCGGCCCCGCGCGCCCCCCGCGCCCTGGGAGCGCTCCATCCGCCCCGCGCGGCCCCTACTGCGTCCCCGGAGCGCCGGCCCGCGCGCCCCGCTCGCCGCTCCCCGGCACTCTCGGGGGGCCCGATCGCCCTGCACCCTGGAGCGCCGGGCCGCGAGTCTCTGCCAGCTCCTCTGGATCCTCGCGGCCGTGGGC